TTCCGTTTTTCCCTGTTCCCAATGTTTTGCACCCTTTCTTGAGTGAGTGGGCGTCGCTCAGGAGCGCGCGCGTATGACATGAAAGGCTGTCGGCGCTCTTCCCTCACCCGGAAGCTTGAGCCAGGCAGTCACAGACACAACAGTTTGCGCCAAGAGCGGTGCCAGGTGCAAAATCCCAAGTGTGGGATCATTCTTCTCCGCGCGTTGCTACACCGGGGGAGGGGGCGATGTTTCGACGTCGATCCCCGGTGACTGTTTTATGCTCTATATGTATGTGTATATATATATATATATATATATATTTGGAGCTGCTCACGTCCGATGCGCTGCACTTGGTTTTTTCCATAGCGCGCGCTCCGTGGGTTAACATATGCCGACCGTCGCTGGCAATGCTGGCCGCTTTGCGCAGTCCTACACCTTCGGATTGCATCCTCCCTTGTCCTGCTCCCTCTCCCGCGCCTCGTCCGTGCCCCCGTTTCCGTTCATGTTTGTTGGATGTGGTTGTCATCATTTGCTGTTTTGGGGGGGCCTTTAACAGGGCGGCCTCCTCCAGGTCACAAGTCACAGCCTGGCGGCAATGCCCGCGGGCCTGCGGAAACTGTTCAAGTACACGCAACAGGCAGTTATTGCCTCCAGGACAAATCAGCGCCCAATGTGGCAGTCTTGCGCGCATTCCCCACGCACGAAGCAGTCGCTTCCAGGACAGCACGGCGGCAACGTCGGCGGTCTGGCACACATGCGCCACATGTTCACATTTACGCGCTCGCACGAGAAAGTTCCTCTCCCTTAGTGTGTCCCCAAAGAGGTGTCGACCTCCAAAACACAGCCCAGTGGCAATGCTGGCAGTCTTGCACGCGGCATAGCTGATCGTGCGAGTAGGTGTTCACCCTTTATGGGCTCCGCATATCTCCCCGGTTGCCTCGCCCCCTTCTGGACCCACTCTCGGCTAGCTACCCTCCCTTCTGACGCTTTCGGGTTTCATTCCTGCGCTGCGTCCCGCTTGAGTGCGGGAGTGGGCAGCCTGATTTATTCTGGCCGTGGCCCGCTCGGGACAGTATCGACTTCCGGGACATAGTTTGGCGGCATTGCAGGGGGTCCGACGCAGTTTCGTTCTCACCTCTCACCTTCTGCTTTGTGTGAAGGCAGGTTCCCCCCTTAGTGGTAACATTTCCTGTCTCCCCAGCCAGAGTGGGGTAGAAACTTGTTGACACGCAGGCAGCCCCATCCCCAGACATGTTCGAGAGGGCCGCCCCAAGCCCTGCATCTGAGTCTAGCAATGTGGAGGCGTGTTCCCCCCCAATCGCCATAGTCACGCATGAAGTCTTCCCCGCCGCCCTTCCGCCCGCATCCTGCCATCTGACGCAACCTCGCGCCGCTCGCGCCCCCGGCCCACCCAACCGCCTTGCTGAAACGAGAGCCACAAGCACAAGCCTTCGTCACCGTATCTTTGCCACCCGGCCATACCCCAGCGCCCCCTTCCCGTCCCGACCTTGCCCCCATCGTGCTTTCCTGCGCTCCACATCATCCTTCCCGTCGGAGCCCCCTTGGCGCAGCATGCATATCCTGCCCTTCCTGTACCTTCTCCCGTCGACCACGGTCTTCACGTCGTCAGCTTGAGGCGGACAGGGCAACATGAGATTGGGAATCTAGGGGCGCGGCAACTCCCAGATCGGGGAGGGCGTTCCGCGAACGATGAATGTATTGAGCGAGTCTGTCCGGTGGCCATCTGGTTCAGGGCCATCGTTGATCTCTTAGGTTGGCTGGGGCGTGCCGGGTGCGCTAGCCTTCGTTGGTGGTGTTGGGGGCCGGGTCCCGAACGAAGATTTGCGTCAAAGTGTGTGGACGTTCGTGCCGTCAGGCTTCATCCGCCCTAGCACGAATGTGCGTAAAAGTTTCCGAGCATCTTTTGTTTGCCCAGCGCACGAGCCATGATTCTAGTAACGAAAATGCCACAATTTGCCGCGTCAAGCCCATGATCCGAGGATGGGCTGGCATCCCCCAGAACCGCTGACGACTTCCGTGCTTCATCCCACGTTTCCCAGCCAGCCCGTGCATTGATTCATTACCATTATTCTCCCAGCAGGGCAGCCCTTCTTCAAACATTCGCCTAATCCTGCCCCTCTCTACATTGCGCAGCTTGCCCATCCTGCACATTGTTTGTCCTATCACGCCCTTCGCTTTCCCAGGTCTGCACATTCCCGTTCGCCATCCGCGCGCACCACGCCCATTGTTTTCCCACTTCAACCGCAGCCGGGTCACTTGTCTATGTTACATACATTGTACAGTCTGCCCAAGCCTCGATCCAAATTTGAGCGACGTCGTCGATGTCATCCCGAAGCTCGAATGTTGTGGGCCGCCAGCCCCGTGGGCGCAGAAGCAGTTTTGCTGAGTAGCGAAGGCTCCCAGCCACTCATTTAATGACGACTGGCGGCTCGCATTGGTGGCAGGTCCACATAGGAGGTGGCTGCGCCATGAGTTCCAAGCCTTCCGATGGATCTGTACCCCCCGGCATAAAGCAAATTAGGTTGGGCGCCGAGCGCTGCTCGCCAGGGCTTCAGCCATTCGGGGGGCCCCCACCCCGAAAAGAAACGCAAGGTTTTAAAACCCCCCACCCCGCCTGCAGCCTCGCCCCCTCCCTCACCCTTCCTCCTCCCCCCCCCTTCCCCCCAGCCCTCCCCCGTCCTTCCTCCCCCCCTCTCTCCCCCTTCCCTCCCCCCTCCCCCTCCTCTCCCCCCTCCCCTCCCTCCCTCTCCCCTCCCCCGCCTCCCTCCCGCCCCATCCCCTCCACCCCTCTTCCCTCCTCCTCCCTCCCCATCCCTCCGTCTCCTTCTCCAGGAGCCTTTCTTGACGTCGCAGAGAACGCCCTGAGCACCCCGCTCGGGCTGCAGGCGGAGCGCGCGCCGCGGCCCCCGCCGCGCCAGAGGCGCGCGCGGCCCTCCCGCCGCGGGAGGCCGCCGCCGCCCGCCGCGGGAGCGCACGGCGCCGGAGGCGTGCGAGCCCCGACGCGGTCACAAACCGGGGCGGGGGGGGTGAGCGTTTGGGGATCTTTTCTCCTCCTCCTCTCCTCCTCCTCCTCCTCCTCCTCCCCCTCCTCCCCCCCTCCTCCTCCTCCTCCCCATCCTCCTCCTCCACCTCCTCCTCCTCCCGCCTCCTTCCCTCTCCTCCTTCTCCTTCTCCTTCTCCTCCCCCTTCTGTTCCTTGGAGGCCTGGGGGCCTTACGTCAGCTGCGCACCCGGCTTCTGGAAGCAATCGCACGTTCGTCACTCCAAATGCAGTTGATTGGTTGCTCCGTCCAGGAGCGTCCTTGGATATATCTCGCCATGCGAAGGGTGAGGTTCAGGTCCGTGTTAGAGCAAGGGTATTTTGGGCACCACGTCAGCTGGCCGAGGTCGCATGTTTGGCGGTAAGACGCTTTTGGGGCAGCGCTGCACGCGAGGTTCGCATCAGTGTTGCACCGCGTCTGCGCAATCTTAGGACAATTGTCCACCAACCCTTTGGGGTTCGTTGGCAGGCTTCGGCTGTGGGTGTGTGGGTGCTTCAGTCTGGTTGACTAGCTGGAGGTGCGCGGCTCACTTCACCGTTTGGCCAGTCGTCTATACGATGTTTGCCGGATACCTGGGGATGAAACGGCTTCCTCAACGGTGTCTTCTGCGTATTGTGGTGTTTGGCAGTTGGCCAGCGCCTCATCTCGTGACGCGCCTCACTCCGTCCACGCGTGACCGTGAGCGCCACTTCATGTCTGTCACGTTCTCTCTCACGCCCAGGGGAAAGTGCTTCGCGGGCTTAACTGAAGGTTCTGCAAGTGGTGGGCAATCGAACATGCGTGCGTGTGTGTGTGTGTGGAGGTGGGTGTATGTGTATATCTATATCTATAGGTGTGTGTGTGCGTGTGTCTGTGCATGCGTGCGTGCGTGCGCGCGCGTGTGTGTGTGTGTGTGTTTGTTTGTGCGTGTGTGCCTGTGTGCGTGTGTGCCTGTGTGCGTGCGTGCATGTGTGCGTGTTTGCGTGTGTGCGTGTGGGCGTGTATTCGTGTGTGCGTGTGTGCTTGTGCGTGCATGTGCGTGTGTGTGTGTGCGTGTGTGCGTATGTGCGTGTGTGCGTGTGTGCGTGTATCCGTTCGTGCGTGTGTGCGCCTGTGTGTGCTTGTGTGTGCATGTGTGCGTGTGTGTGTGTGTGTGGTGTGCGTGTGTGTGTGGTGTGTGTGGTGTGTGTGGTGTGTGTGGTGTGTGTGGTGTGTGGTGTGTGGTGTGTGTGGTGTGTGTATGTGTGTGTGTGTGTGTGTGTGGGTGTGTGGGTGTGTGTGTGTGGGTGGGTGGGGGGGGGAGGGGGGGGGGCGTGGGTGCGTGCGTGCGTGCGTGCGTGCGTGCGTGTGTGTGTGTGTGTGTGTGTGCGCTCTGTGGTGTATGTGAGTGAGTTGTGTTGTGTGTGTGTTCGTGTGTGTGTGTGTGTTTGTGTGTGTGTTGTGTGTGTGTGTGTCGCCTCTCTCGTCGCCGCTTTTCCTCCACCTCTCTCCTCTCCAGCGGTTTTGCTATGCTGGCTCGGCTTTGACAACTATTATTGCCGCCGTGGTGCCGCGCACATGGTGGCCGAGGGAAACAGAGTTTGTGTGTGTGTGTGCGCGCGAGCGCTGCTGCTTGTACTTGCTTTACCCGCACTGGGCCCTGTCAGCGCCCGTGGGTGCCCCAGCGCCGCGGCCCCACAGCTGCCATGGTTCCCGCGGGCGGGGCTGGCCGTGCCGGCACACTCAGGTGAGATCTCTTCCACCTCTGAGTGGCCTTTCTTCTCCTCCCCCCCCGCAGCCGCCCGCTCTGCCCTCTTCCCACTCTTGCATGCTGGCCAATTCGCTTTTCGGTGCCCGTCTAGCTCTATCGCTCGTGCAGCCAGCTCTGTCCCGCCGCCGACGGAAAATGTGTGCGCGTGTGTGTGTATGCGTGCGTTGGAGATTAGTTGTGCTTGCTCTTCAGCCTTGCCGGCAGGTGGATTGCAATGACAGCATCGACATGGTCTCATCGCGGGAGGGGGGCATGTGTGGTTGTCCAGTGGCTGGCCAGAAAGACAGCCTGGTCACTGCCACTGCAGTTGCATCCTCTTTCCTCAGGACATCTATTGGTGGCATTTGCGTTTCTCAGCGGTCCCTCGGGCTACACAAGTGCCTGTTGCTAGAGCCAGGGTGATGAATCGCCCAACGAGTTATCGAAAACATGTCTCCAGCTGCCTGCGGCAAACCCCGGTTTTGCTTCGGAAGTCGTGACCTGCAGGGGCGGATCTCACAAGTGGTCGCCCGTCTTGGTCCTAACCGCGCCGTCGGCGCCGCGCGCGTGGGGGGGGGGTCCGCAAGTCAGGCATCGACTCGGTGCCGACCAGCAGCCGGAAGGCGGGCGCGGGGCCGCAGGGCTGGGGCGTGGAGGGGGACGGAGGGAGGGATGAGGATGGAGGGGGGGGCGAGGATCACGAGGCGGAGGATAGATGGAGGGGGGACGAGGATGGAGGGAGGGACTAGGCAGACGACGACGAGGAGGACGAGGACGAGGAGGAGGGAGGGACGCGGAGGATGGAGGGAGGAACCTGGATGGAGGGAGGGACGAGCACGAGGAGGCGGAGGAGGAGGAGGAGGAAGAGTGGGAAGAGGAGGGGGAAGACGACGACGACGAGGAGGACGAGGAGGACAGGAGGACGAGGAGGAGGAGGAGAAGGAGGAAGAGTTGGAGGAGGAGGAGGAGGAGGAGGAAGGAGGACGAGGAGGACAAGGACGAACACTGCTTTCAGGCGATCGCAAACATGGATCAAGGGGGCGTGGATTTGCGGCGGGTCCCGTTTCCGTGGGGAATCGCGGATTTCCGCAGCCGAACGAGGCGGCACCAGCCACATTTTGGGGAGGGCACCTCCCCCGATCCATGTTTGCGCGCTCCCGATGCTTGGTGATGCAAAGCATCAGGCCTTGCCAGAGGTTTCCGGCAATTGGCTATTTGGCGGGAGCGTCATAGGCTTCGTGAAGCAGCGCCAGGTAAAGGGCATCGTGCACGTAGGGATCGGCCACGGACGCGAGCGGGAGGGAATCATCTACACCGCCTTCGGAACGGAGTGGCGTATCATAGGAGAATAGTGTGAATCAACAAGTGATATCACACCGGTGTTCGAAAGGATCTCTGATAATGGTGTTCGGCCTGATTGATGCTAGATGGTTCGCGGCGTCTGAAGAGGGGTATCCCATCTTATAGCATGGGCGCGAGACCACACCATGGATGCAGGCACCGGCTGGCAGAACGACGGCCCGCCAGATTTCAAGGTTCCAGTGCGTTCGAATGACGTTATATCATGCATTGCGATGGTAAAAAGCGCGCGGATTCCTGCTGTGCTGCAGCCTGGTTTGCCGACTCGATGGTTTTGCGCGACGGCGTTCGGCACGTTCTCTTTGTCGCCATGAATTGCATGCGCTCGCATCTACTTGCTTTTCCATTCACAGTCGAAGCCGTGGCCCTAGATGACAGTGATGCGCTTGGTTTGATGTTGCAGCCAATGAACCCATCAGAATGTAAAGGCAAAGCCTGGTATACTTCAGCACAGTGTGTAATATGCAACTTCGACGCAAAGGCCTGTCGCGATGTGGCCAGAGGCGTCACAGGAAAGAGACGGGAGGATAGAGGAAGTAGGGGGTATGAGCAGGGGGAATAGGAGGAGGAGAAGGAGGAGGAGAAAGAGGGCGAGAAGGGGGAGGGAGAAGGAGGAGGAGGAGGAGGAGGAGGGAGGGAGGCAAGAGGAGGAGGAGGAGGAGGAGGAGGAGGAGGGAAGGAGGTAGAGGAGAGTAGCATGAGAAGGAGGAGGAGAAGAAACCCATGAAGCGGAGGAGGAGGAGGAGGGAGGAGGAGGTAAGAGGGGAAGGATTGATGCGCCACGCGCGTACCTGACACGACTTGCTTGCATCTCGTAGACGAGTGGGACGAGGAGAGGCTGGAGGATGAGGAAGAGAAGAAGGATGCGAGGGATGATGACGATGCCGATGACGATGATGATAATGATGATGATGATGCTGATGACGATGATGCTGATGATGATGATGATGAATATGATGCTGATGCTGATGCTGCTGCTGATGATGATGCTGCTGATTATGATAGCGATGACGATGGCGATAACGATGACGATGGCTATATGTACGAGGGTGATGGTTATAGTGGATATTATGATGACGACGGCGGTGACGATGAGGACGCTGTTGTTGATGATGATGGTGATGACATGGGCGATGCTTGTGGCGATTCTAAAGGTGGTGATGGATGCTGCTCATGTTGACGGTCTCGATTACGACGATAATGATCCTACTGTTGGTGATGGTGACGATGACGATGGTGGTGGTGATTCTTCTGATGAGAATAGTAATTTTAAACGTGGTAGTGATGATGACGCTGATGATGATGATTACGATGATGATGATGATGATGATGATGATGATGATGACGATGATGATGTCGGTGGTAGCGCTGATGATGATGTGGATGATGATCATGATGATGATGCTGATGATGATGACGATGAATATGGTAGCGACGATGATGCGAATGCTGATGATGATGCTGCTGATGATGGTGATGATGATGATGAGGCGTATGATGATCATTGTTATTGCGACCATGACGTGACGATACGTGTGGTGATGGAGAGGAGGACGATGACGAAGACGACGACGGTGATGGTGATGAGGATGAGGATGAGGATGAGGATGAGGATGAGGATGAGGATGAGGATGACGATGACGACGATGATGATGATGATGATGATGATGATGATGATGATGATGATGATGATGATGATGATGACGATGATGTTGGTGATGGTGGTGGCGGTGGAGGTAGTGGTGGAGGTGGTGGTGATATGATGGTGATGCAGGTGATTGTGGAGGAGGAGGAGGAAACAAGGATGAGGAGGAAGAGGGAGGGAGAGGAGGACGAGGGCGGAGAGGGGAGCAGGAGGAGAGGAGCAGCAGCAGGAGCAGGAGCAGCAGCAGCTGGGACGGAAGAGCCGCCGCCCTCGGAGAAGGGCCGGGGCGGCAGCGGGGCGGCCGGGCCCGCGGCGCGCGCCGCGCCCGCGGGCGCTCGCCCCCTCTTGCACCGCACCCCGGAGTCCTCCTCCTGCCTGCTCGGCCTTCTCCTCCCTCCTCCTCAAGCAGTGGCGAAGCGTTCTGGCTCGCCTATAGCCCTACCAAACGATGTTCTAAGAACCTGGTGTGCTTTCCACGAACTGGTCTTAGAGCATTTCTGGCGGAGTCTGTCTTGTTCTATCACATCGGGTTTATCAGGTGTTCTAAGAATAGTGTATTTGTTGTTAGAACATGTTTGGGTTCTAAGAAAAATTCGTGGTAGGACTATAAAAATACCGGGGCGGTCGGTCCCTGCTCAAGAGAGCCTGGGGGGGGTAGCAGCCAGGGCTGGGCCTAATCGGTGTGTTTTGGGCGATTTCTTGGGCCGTTCTCGTGCCGCCTTCGTCTTGCGGGAAGAAGGCGGGTTCGAGGCGAAAGCGAGGGGTCAACGCAACCAAAACGAGAACGAAACACACCGTTTAGGTTCAGCCCTGGCAGCAGCCTCGTGGACGGGCCCCCCGTCGGTTTTGGTGTCGGGTCCCGTGCCCTCTGCCGCCCCGTCGGGCACTCGGGAGGGGCTGCGGCTCTCCCCCGGGGGTCGAGGCGGCGCGTCCGTCGAGCGTCGGCGAGGGCTGCTGTGACAGACAGCGGCCGCACCGTCTGCACAGTCTGCACCCTCCTCCCCCTCCCCCTCCTCCTCCTCCCCCTCCTCCTCTTCCTCCTCCTCCTCCTCCTCCTCCTCCTCCTCCTCCTCCTCCTCCTCCTCCTCCTCCTCCTCCTCCTCCTCCTCCTCCTCCCCCACCCTCCTCTCCTCCTCCTCCTCCTCCTCCTCCTCCTCTCTTCGAGAAGGGCTTCTCCCCAGCCACCAGGGTCCGCCCAAGGCGCCTCTGGCCAGAGAGCCGGGCACTGGGCCGCCGCCCGGGGTCCTCGTTGGGTCATTCGCGACCACGTCGTGGGTACCAGCGAGTTCCAGCGAGGGCAAACAACCCAACGAGGACCCAAACGAGCGAATTCCAGCGAATTGCGAGCGAGTTCCAACTGGGATACCAGCGAATTGCGAGCGAGCACACTTCTTTGCCTCGTGGATGCCAGCGAATTCCAGCGAGTTCCCCCCTCATCTCCACTGCTGGGCAAAGAAGTGTGCTGTCGCGGACCTGGTGGTCGGGGCGATGGAGCACGCTGAGGCTGTTGGCTGATCCATCCGCTTGCACCTGGGCAAGGCCCTCTTTGCAGCGGCAGCTGCCGAGTCCAAGAGGATCAAACCAACGCGTCCGATTACGGAAAGACTACTTCAATAATGTTAGGATGTCCGAGCACCAGGTGCACATTGGCATCGGCTCGGCGTTTCATTGCGAAGCGTGTGGCTGCAGTTCCGGCGGCAGGAAGCTCGAACAAATGTTGGGTTGCCTTTCCCTGGGCCACTACGGCAGCCAGAAGTTACGCAAGTTGGCCCGTGGGGTCTTACCAACAGCGAGGATTTCCTGTAAGAGCCCGGTGTCCTGACTTGTCGGAGAAGCACACGTATTTCAATTTGGATTGGGTTTTTGTTTGTAGGGTGAGCCTACCTTTTCGAGGTCCTCGTGATCTCACGTCTGGGGTTGTGACAGAGCCAGCTGGTGCCTGGTGATCGTGGCCCTTATGTTGAGTGCAGCTGTTCTGAGGTGCGCCGCTGCCAGCCTGGCGTGCTGGCTCACGGACCTCAAAAGCGTGCTGGTGAGAGGACTCTCTGCCCTCCTTCCCTTTTCCTCTTCCGCCTCCCCTCAGCGCGGGCATCGGTGCGGGCTGCGGCGTCGGGTGGCCCGCGGAGTACTAAATACGCCCTCCTCCTGCTCCTGCCTCCTTGTCTTCCTGCTCGTCCCTTCCCCTCCTCTGTTATACCTCTTTCTCCCTACTTCTACGTCTTCCTCCCTCTCTCCTCCCACCTCCTTTCTCCTCTCCCTGTCTTTCTCCTCCTGCCTCCCTCCTCTCCCCTCCTTCGCGTCCCTCCCCCCCATCCACCTCCAGTTCTTGCTCCTCCTTCTTCTCCATGCGCCCGCTATTCAGCGATTGCGCGTGGGTGTGGCCTGAATTCGGCTTCCTCCTGCTCCTCATCCTCATCCTCCTCATCCTCATCCTGCTGCTCCTCCTCCTCCTCCTCCTCCTCCTCCTCCTCCTCCTCCTCCTCCTCCTCCTCCTCCTCCTCCTCCTCCTCCTCCTCCTCCCCCCCCCTCGTACCTCCGACCTCCTCGACCTCCCCCCTCTCCACCTCCTCCTTTTGGCTCCACCTCCTCCGCGACCGCAGCCGGAACCTGTTTTGGCCCTCCTTGGCCATTCCGATTCTCCCCCTCTCCCCCCGTGCGCGTGCGAGGTGCTCATCGCGCTGGCCCAGAAGCAGGGGGCCCAGCGGATGGCCCGTCCACCCGCGCCCGCCCCGACGAGGCAAGAGAGAGGGGGGGTCGTAGGTGCGCGCTGTCTTCCTCGATGCCTGTTCGTTTGATGTCAGTATCTTGTAACCGACCCCCGTCGCCGTCCTCATCCACTTCGAGACCCCACCAAATTACCACCCCAGTTGGGCCTGCACCCCTCGAAACCCGAAGGGAACTGGCTGCCCATCTAGGAGGGTCAATCGGCCAGTGGGGCCTCGGCCGCGCCTCGGATACACGATGCTCACGATACATAACTCAAGCAGTGGCGAAGCGTCCTGGCTCGCCTATAGACCAACCAAACAATGTTCTAAGAACTGTTTGTGGTTTCCACGAAATGTTCTTCGAACATTTCTGGCTGGGACTGTCTTGCTTTAACACATCGGGTTGATGTTCTAAGAACAATGTGTTTGTTCTTAGAACATTTTTGGGTTCTGCGAAGATTTCGTGGTAGGACTATAGGAATACCGGGACGGTCGGTCCCTGCTCAAATAACGCCTCCTTGTCGCACCCCGAGGCGTGTCGGCCGGGCGGGCAAGGCGTTTCGCCCGAGACTTCCTCGCCACGTTTGATCCTGAAGCTGAGTGAGGTTTGCAACAGGGGGCGCCCTCTTCAATATGTGGCTCTCGACGGAGCGCCGGCGCATATTCGCTTCCAAAGCTTGCAGGGAGCTTTTCTTCGGGCGGAGGGCTGGTCCTCCTCAAACTGTGGTCCTGGCCCTAGCGCCGCGCAAAGATCGTTTGAGTAACCTAACGCAGCTTCAAGGAATCGGATGGCTTCTCGCCGCATGAATGGCGTTCTGGCACGATGTAGGACCATCAGGGCGCGATTCGCGGCGTGGAAGTTCCCGGGATGGTGTTTTGGCACGGCTCGGGATGTTCGAACGATTCTGTTCTATCGGGGCATTTCTTTTAGTAAGCCGAAGTCGTTGTACGGCCCTATAAATTCAGTAAATTGAGAGGAAGGTTGATGTGTCTTGTGTTTGTCTTCGTTTCTCCACCCTATCCCTCCTCCATCCTCACTCCCGCTCCTCCCTCCTCTCCTCCTCATAGCCCTGTCGCGCTCACAGACGTGTTCGTAGGCCCGGCCAGGCGGTTCGCCAGAGACGACCCACCACCTTCTGAAGCTTGAAATTTGCAACGTGTCAATCTTGGAAGGCAGGCCGTTTTCAAAACGGAGTTCTCACTTTAGCGCCGCGCGCATTCGTGCCAACATTTTTCAACAGTCTCAAACATTTTTTCGAAATGGAGCCCTCGCCCTGGCGCCGCGCACATTCGTCTGACAAGCTTGCGACGGCTTCTAGGATTGAGGCCGGTTCGTTTTCCAATTGTGTTTCTCGCTTCAGCGCCACGCGCATTCGTAAGAGAAATTGTAACAGTTTCACGGGGTTGTATAGCTGTCAGGAGTGCCCAGATCTTATCACGTTCTTATGAGGAACATCCTGGAGGCCTCGCGCGGCGCGCAATAGTTGTATTATCTAGTCCACACGTCAGCTCCGTAAGTTATGGGTCGACGCTCGCGCTGCCATGCTCCGGCGTCAGTCCGACGTAATGTTGACGTAGTCCGAGGTGAACCCGACGTAAATCCGAGGATGATCCGACGTAAATCGTGTCTCAAGTTGCCACGCGAGGCCTCCAGAATTTTCCTCATGAACGTTTCCAGTGCGAAGATGCGGGTTTACCCGTAAGGGCTTCGCCCCCATGCCGCCTGCCCCCCTCTCTTAGAATGGGGCTTGCCAGAGTTGTGTTGGGATGTCTGGACGCTGACGTGAGGCAATGTCGGGACTTCACGCGATGGCCAATTTTAATTTGCGAGGGTGTATGTCTTCGGCGGCGCCAGCATTAGGTAACTTACTATGGTTCATGGTTTCGGGGGCGCGAATATGCTATACTTTACGAGGGTGTGTGCCCTCGGGGACACAAAGATTGCGTCCTCGGGGGCGCACAGATTGCGTACTTTATACGGGTCTATGGCTTCGGGGGCGCGAAGCTTCAGTAATTTACCATGGCTTATGGCTTCGGGGACGCGAATATAGTATAACATATGAGGGTTTGTGGCCTCGGGCCTCGGGGACGCAACTATTGTGTAATGTACCATGGTGTATGGCTTCGGGGCGTAACTATTAGATATTTTAAAAGGTGTTATGGCGTCGGGGACGCGAACATTGTGTAATTTGCGAAGGGGTTGTGGCCTCGGGGACGCAAGCATGGTGTAATTTCGAATGGGTGATGGCCCTGGGGACGCGAATCTTGTGTAATGTTTAAAGGTATATGGCTTCGGGGGCGCGAGTATTATGTGATGTGCATGGGTTTATGCTCTCGAGGGCGCGGACGTTGCGTAACCTACGAGGGTGTATGGCTTCGGGGACGCGAATATTCTACAAATTACATGAGACTGGCTTCGGGGACGCGAATATGGTGTAATTTACAAAGGTGTATGGCCTCGGGGACGCGAATATTGTGCAATGCACTAAGCAGTGTGGCCTCGGGGACGCGAATATCATGTATTTTTCTGTGTCCCACGCCCCCCCAGGAATTCAGACAGCGCGATCTGGGCGTTGTAAAAGTGCTGGTTTGGGGCGTGCGCCCAGCACCAATTAGCAGTAAGGAAGCAGAGAGCAGCACTGTGACAGTAGAAACTGGAAACTGCAGCTGGAACAGGGAGCTGCAAGCCTTACCCTCGCAGCCTGGTGGCCCCGCAAGGGGGCCTGCGGATTTACATGTTCTGATCCTTGCGAGGCGCTACCTCCTTTTTTGGGGAGTCTGCGGGGTGGAATTCTTCCCTGTTAGATTCCTTCGGACGGCTGTTTTTCAATGAGCCACGTCTTGCAATGAACATACGTTGTAGGGACTTGTTAAGAGGGAGCTTGGAGAGAGGGTGTGTTGCAGCACCGTTGACACGTCTTCGTTTTACTCTGGTCCTCCCTCCTCCTTCTTCTCCTCTTCCATGCTCCTGCTCCTTCTCCATGTTCCTCCACCTGCGAGCTGACCTGCGGACAGTATGAAGCGAAGCGATGCCCCGATGCCCTCGATGGCCCTCATCCTGGCCTGCGCCGGACGGAACGGCGACGGGACGACAGAGCGGCAGGTCCGAAGGGGCCTGCAGGTAGAGGTGGTTGAGGTGGGGGATGCGGCCTGTACAGAAGTCACGCAGAGGCCCAGTTGCCACGGGAGTGCCTGGGCGCCACCCACTCGAGAGGGCGTGCCAGGGCGTGCATACGTTGGTAGCAATCATGGGAGCCTTGCAGCTAGAACCAGGGTTCCAGCATTCATGGTGGCGCTGAGCTGTTGGCCTAGGGAGTTCATGGTGCACTCGTGCATGCTTGCAGGCAGATCCTGCGCTCATGGTATCACAGGCAAGTGAGCGTTGCAAAAAGACGGGGTCGTCTGCGCCGACATTCGCGCGCAAGCTGCCCGCGTAAGGTCCCTCGTAAGCGCCTTCGTCTCCAGTGCGGCGTGCCGCGGTCTCGGCCCGCGTAAGCTGCAGCGTAAGGTCGCTACGTCATCTCGCGTAAGACCCGTTTTTGATCTTCGCTCAAGTGTGCGAATTGTTGCCGTGGCAGTCGCCGTGCGCGATAGCTCAGCATGTGCCCGCATCGCCGATCTCGAAGGCCATGAGCTTCGCCTTCGACGCGCTGCCCGCGGAGGCCCCAACGCGCGTGCCGGCTTCTTGACCGTATGCTTGTTCACGTTGGTGTTCGATGGGCGTCCTTGTTCAGGGCGCATAGTAAGGACGGGCAACCTTCCCAATGGTACTTTTGCATCCTTGCCGCCTCGGTCCATCCTTGGCCGCTTTTGTTGGCTTACCTCGTGGGAAAAACGTTGACATGGCCGTCCAAGGCCCTTGCACCTTACCGCGCATCCCTATGATACGGGCCGACTGTAGTGGATTCGGTTTGCAGCCTCAGTCGCACTTTTACATTCAGGCGACTAAAATCATGGTAGATGTACAGGTGCATACAGTACAGGGCTTCAACATCTGAGTTGCTGGATGGAGGGCTTGTACACGCACCTTGGAATTGTGTTACTATAGGCTTGACACACGGGGGATCCAGTTGAATTTTTTGGTTTGGGGGGGGCTGGGTGCGTGGGACACCACGCTGCTCTGCATGTTAAGAGTTGTATGCAACACGTGTGATGCAGTTGGTTTCATCAGAGTGTCTGGGATACGAATGTCGTAGAACCACGGTGTCCAATCGGGCAAGCTTCCAACTGAAACCCATTCGGGCCGATGGACGTGTGCAAGGCCGCGTGTCCACAATAAGAACGGGTTCGCAAGCTGGTGCTCGAATCTTGAAGGAGTACTCCTCCATCCACTCACGGTTTTTCCCCCTGTTGACTCGAACGGTCGCTCTTTTACGGTGACCCGGTGGTTCAGATATCTTGGTCACCGCAAGGGCGTGAAGAGACTTGCGCTTCGCGCCTGAGCTGGCATTCTCGAGGGGACCGCGCGAGGGTGCGAAGATAGTCGCACGTCGCGCACCGCGAGGGGCGATGCGCGTAGACAGGGCGCCGCGAGATCCTGTAGCGGGAGGAGGGCGAGTAGGAGGGGAGGGAGAGGGGAGGAGGCAAGGAAGGAGGTGAAGAATGATATCCTTCGTGGACTCAACGTAGACGTCGCACTCCGCGCATTGACGAGTGGGCTTCCCGACTCTTGGCTATCTTGAGCCGTCTTGAGGCTCTCTTCAGAGTCTCCTGAGCTGTTTTGGGCCATCTTGAGCCGCTTTGTGATCGACTTGGCTGTCTTGGAAGCTGTCTTGGAGGCCATGTTCTCTGTCCTGAGGCCGAACAGACCGCCCGACAGCAATTTCAGAAGGGCAGTTTTTTTAGGGGCGCGTGCGTCGAGGCAGGGGGCCCTTAAGACTGTACAGTGCCTCCCAGACAACAGACGAGCATTCTAGCACGCCCACTCCGTGCAGAAGCGCTCCACGACGGGCGACGATGGCCCCAAGACGGCCTCAGAGGCCCCCCAGACGGCCCAAGAGGCCCCCACGAGGACTTCCAAGAGGGACTCAGGAGGGACAAACCATAGATTGTCCGATAAGGGCTTCGGGGATTCTCGCCTTTTCGGGCCAAAAACTTGCTAAGACGGCCCTGGAGGCCTCCGAGATCGCTCCAAGTCCTCCCCAGAGGCTCCCAAGAGGACCTCAAAAGACGGCCCAAGAGCGCCTCGAGGCGGCCAAAGAGGGCCGCACGGCGGCACAGGGAGGGCCCCGCAGAACCCCAGCCGGCCCCCAGGAGAGCCCCGAGGGGGGAGCAGGAGGCTCTCAAGAGGGCCCCAGGAGCGCCCCGAGCCGGTCCGAGCCCCTCAAGACGGTCGAAGAGGGCCCCTGGACGGCCCAAGAGGGCCCCAAAACGGGCTCCTGCTGCTGCTCCGTCTCCTCCTCCTCCTCGTTCTCCTCCTCCTCCTCCTCCTCCTCCTCCTCTTCTTCGTCCTCCTCCTCCCCCTCCACCTCCTCCTCGTCCTCCTCCTCGACAAGAGCCACAAGAGGACCCCAAGAGGCCTTCGACACGTTTCTGACACGCCCTCCGGAGGCCATGTTGGCGGCTCTGCCGGCCCAGGAGGCGTAGGTACAGAGACGGCCCGGGAAGCCGCCAAGGCAGCCAAAGAAAAGCCTTAAGGCGGCCTAAGAGACGCCCACGAGCCAGGAGTGTTCCAGGATGGCTCAAGATGACCTCAATGCGATGAAGTCGGGCCCGTCCCTCTACAGGACGATTATACAAACACAGCATAAAAAATAGTACGGGGACGATTTCTTGATTATTGCTCACCATGTTGGAGTATGTTTTGACTAGTTGAAGTTTTCGTCCACGATCCGCCTGTAGGGGGGCGTGCCCGACCTAACAATACGGCCCAAGACGCCCCCAAGAGGCCCCCAAGAGGACCCCCAAGAGGCCCGGAGGAGGCACGCCACACATGTTTTCTTCAGGTGCTCAATGGATGCATCGGGTTCTCCCATTCTCTGGCCAGAACGGCCCAGGGCGGCTCTGGGGACCTCCGAGATCGCCCCAACACGTCCCATAATGCTTCCAAGAGGGCCTGAAGCGGGCCCAAGACGATTTCAAAACAGCCGAAGAGAGCACTGAGACGGCCCAAGGAGGGCCCCACAGAGCCCTAAGAGGCTTTCAGGAGAGCCCCAAGAGGGCCACAGGAGGCTCTCAGGAGGGCCCCGAGAGCGCCCCAAGCTGGCCCAAGCCCCCAGGACAGTCCAACAGGGCCCCAACACGGCCCAAAAGAGCCACACGACGCCCCCAAGAGGCCCTCAAGATGTTTGTAAGAGCCTCTCAGGGCGACCCCCAAAAGCGATCAGCGGCGTACAACTTTGAACGCCAAGGCTCACCATAGTTCACAATGATATGCAAATCTTTGAACGCCTCGGCTCCACAGAGCGAACGGTGACGCAAAAATCTCTGAGCACCAAAGCCCCCCATAAAACACAGTGACGTAGCAAGCTCTGGTCACCGAGACTCCCAAGAGGAAAAGGTGTCGCAAAAAGCTCTGGTCACCAAGACTCCCAAGGGCGATCGGTGATGTACACAGCTCTGAACACCAAAGCTCCTAAGAGCTCACAGAGACGTGGCAAGCTCTGAACAGCAAGGCTCCGAGGAGCATACCGTGATGTGGAACTTTTGAACACCGAGGTTCCAAGTACCCATGATGATGTACATAGCTCTGAACGCTGAGTATGTTCAGTGCGCCTCGAGTTGCCCCGATGTTTGCTCGTCATCGATGTACGGTTCTTCTCGAGAAACAACGTTTCCTTCCCTCGCATTCGCTTCTCCTTCCTATCTCTTCTCCCCTATACTGTCCCTCTCCTGTCGACATACCTCCCTACTTCTTCCCTCCATCTATTTACCCTCTGCTAACTCGTCACTCTTGGTGCTTCTCCTTTCCCGCCTTCCTCCATGCCTCTTCCCCAGCGTTTCTCTCCCTCCCTTGTCGTAGTTGCCCTCCTTCTCTCATGCTCATCCTTCCTGCCCCTTCCCTTACCTTCCCGATTCTAATGACACCCTGAGCAAACTCGTTCCTTCTTTCCAGTGCGGGGTGGCGGGACGGATGAGGAGGACGAGCATATTTTGTTGGAGTTGGAGGCTAGGGAGGTGGGCACAACACAGCATTGCGGAGTCAACGGTCGATCCCGCAATTGTATTGGCTTTCAGAGTTGCAGACGGCATTTCAGAATTGCAGTCGACCCGCATGGCACGCATGGGCAGTCTTCCAGAGGGCACCCTCGCATCCGTGCCTCTTCGGTCAATCCTCGGCCACTTTCGTTGGCCATGCCACGCTCGAAACGCTTCGGCATGGCCTTCAAGGCCCTTGCATCCTTTATCGCGCATCCTTTTGATACGAGCTGACTGTAAATCACCCCCGCCCCCATACCCTCCGCAATGGTTCCCTCTGAGTACTGCTCTCGTCTCTCCCCCGATGGTGGCCTGGACGTCACATGTGCCCCCCCCCCCCCCCCCTGCTCTGCGTTGTATTACAGGGTGGGCCTCCATGTTAGGATCGGGGCGTTGCTCCCGTCGTTCAGCATGGCGCTCTCGCCCCAGCGCGCGCCATTCTGCTGGGTCGGAGTCGTTCCTCGCTGGGTCGGAGTCGGTTTTCGTCGCCTTCACCTATGCTTCCCCTAGTCTGCCTGCTCCTCCCGCTCCTTGCACGCCAGCTCCTCTTGCTGTTGGTGTTCGCCCTCGTCCTCATCATTCCTCTTCATTCCTCGTCCTCCTCCTCCTCCGTTCCCTCCTCATCCGCCACCTCCTTCTTCTGCTCCTCTTCTTCCTCCTCCTCCTCCTTCTCCTCTGTGCGCGGCTCCCACTTCCCAGTGGCGCATAGAACTATGCACTTTGGGTTTGGGGGTCCAACTCATGTTTGGCACGCGTCGCCGACGGAGCAACAACAAAACAATGCAGGGGAACGGGACGGACGGGACGGGGTGGCGCGGGCGCACCCAGCGTGAAGTCGGGCGCGTCCCTCCACAGGAGGCATGTTCAAACTAGTCAACGAAGAGTATGGGGACGATGGTCTACTATATAAAACGTTGTACATGCCGCGGCCGCTGATCACGAAGAGCAGCAGCAGCACGACATAGTGGGTGCGGCAAGCCTCACCTGCAGGGGTCGTAGCCCCCTCCCAGAGTCGCCTCTGACTACTTCTGAATCTATGTTGGCTGGTTCTCAATGTTCGCCCAATATCTGCCTGTAGAAGGGCATGCCCGACCTAAACCTAGCTGGTCCTCCCTCGTTCGCTCTCCCCTGCCCCCTCCGAGGGCCCCAGGGTGTGCCAGGGAGGGGCGAGTGCTCCATCCAGGCACGCGGTTCGTCTCGTAGCATTTACGTGAGTGCGCCCTTGCTCCAGGATGGCATGCGCTCGCCAAGCCTGAGTCTGACCCCAAACAATCCCTCGCACCCCGTCGTGTTCCTCCCTCTCCTCCTCCTCCTCCTCCTCTTCCTCCTCCTCCTCCTCCTCCTCTTCCTCCTCCTCCTCCTCCTCCTCCTCCTCCTCCTCCTCTTCGTCGTCAGGAGCAACCCTGGCCCAAGACACCGCTCAGCTCCGACCGCGCGCTTGCTCATCGAACCCCATGTGAGCACCGCATCCAGGGCAGCGCAGCGGGGCTGGACCGTCTCGGGACAGAGCCAGCATGAGCACACT